TGTGTTTTTTTTGGTTTGTGAATCCTACTCATAGTTGTCCCCTGAGGAAGCCCACAGAGTGTGATTGATGTGAGGCGCTGCTGGAGTTTCTCTCTACCCTCAGAGAGAGAAAGCTATACGTAGGAGATCTGAGTCTTTAGAAGTGTCCCCGTCTGTCCTGAGGAGGAGGAGGGGGGGGATGGGGGGTCGATGCGCAGGGGGAGGTCTGCACTGAGGCTGCGACACAGCCAGGACATACTGTATGTAACATCTACAGAACATCACAATTCAATGTGTCAAGTTCTGTGTGTTTAATTACTTTTTAAAGGCAGATGCATGTTCTCATTTAGACCACCAGGGGGAGACCAGACTCTGCGTGGTGAGGTCCCCAGAAGCTAAAGAAATAAATCTCCTCTCCTTTTAGTTGTTGGCAGGTTCAATACGAATGCCTGCACAACATCTTAACACCTCACAACATGTTGCACCTCGTTACCGTCTAATGTCTGGGCAAAATCAACTATAATGCAATATAATGTTCTCTTATAGCGCTGTAAAAGCAGCAGTCATAAAAGCATGGAGAAACAGCAGCTTCCATAAAGGCTAACACACTGCTGCCTTTATTAGGATTACTTTGATCATTCCTGCAGGAGAGGGAATGTATTGAGGTGAAGGACGACAGAAGTAACGTCCTCTAATTCTGAAATGACCATAGCATTGAGCTCTTTTGAGATTCAAACAGTAAACATGTTGATAATAGTCGGAACAAGTTGGATTTATTTCACGTTTTTACAACATATTACATAAAAACGGTGAATTTGGCGGATGTTTAGATGCATTTAAGAGTCTTATTCTGTCTGGTGATAAATGTGTGCTGTAACATATAAGAGGCTTCTCTGTGATGGACGCAGAAACAGCGAGTTCTTATCTGTTAGTTAGTTATCAGTTATTGGAGTTTTCTATTCAGACGTGTTTTAAAATGTTTTGACATCGTGTGAGGGTTTCCAGTCTGTGGCCATAAAGATGGTTTCATCGTCTCGTGCTTTTACATTAGTTTCTTTTGTCTAAATGTATTTATGCTGCTTTTTATATATGTATATATCGATGTACAGAACTGTGGTCTGTTGTTTTTAAATGTGCTGTATGAATAAAGTTGGATTGGATTGAGCACATCATTCCTCCTGATCCGGTGGATATGAAGTAGGGCTGCTCCATTAGGGCAAAAATCATAATCTCGATTAATTGGGTCAATAATTGTAATTGCGATTATTCATTGACTTTGAAAACATCCATTTATCGGAGAAAAAAATGTCGAAAAGTATGTTTTTAACAGTTGATTGCCCTGAACTTTAAGTAGAATTCAACTGAAAAACCCAACAAAAAAAATTATTAAAAAAAAAAAAAAAAAGTAATAATAATTTTTAAAAATCGTTTTATTTCGATTACGTTGTTTTCG